TCCCAATGAAGAACATGTAATAAGGGAAAGCAGAATTACTTATGAGCGCGAGCGCAGTCAGCAAAAACGGACACGCGATTCGGATTTCTGGCCGCCGCTCCACCAAACAACAACTGAGCTCCGCTGTATTAATTGGTAAGGGCACATTTGTAGGCAGGCTGTTCTACTGAGCGGATGTCAGAACAATAATTTCGGCGGTGCAGCACTCTCCGGCCTCACTGTGGGGCCGCTAAAGTGGGAGTCTTTTAGTCTGTGGGCTGGACTAATTGAGGCAAGGGAGGGCAGCCACGAATGTTTAAAATGGGAGTCTTTTAGTCTGTGGGCTGGACTAATTGGGCAAGGGAGGGCAGCCACGAATGTTTGAGCGCGGAGGCTGACTTTAAGTAAAGTGGATTTTGGGGAGAATGCCGCACAAATGATGTCCCCAGTCCGCCTCGTCACCTTCGCCCCTTTGCTGTGTCGCAGCAGCGTGGATGTGATGTCCAACAACTAACAAATGACTTTGTCCAACAACTAACATGTGGCTTTGTTGCAGCGAGCCCTAGGTTCTTTGAAGATGAATGATTCTAACTAGCGAAATACGTGTTAGATTTGCATATTTCTGCGACCAGCTACTTCGAGTTGTAGGCTCCATTCAAACCGGCGCATTTTAATCGTCATGAATTTTGTTTCTAGTTCCTTCCTGCTCAGTAGAGCCCAGCTGTTTCACATATTGACAAAAAGTTTAACCTTAAGCGGGTCTCGAATCCTCAACTTTCATGATTTTCGGGGTGCGAACTAAGGCGTTAAACAGCAGCTGTCATGACTAAAATAAGTTCTTTAACCCTCCATGAGTTTTTATCATGGCTAACGTCGTCTCACGGATATTTTGTTTTTTTTTCGTTCATGGCCCTGTTGTGATCCTCACTCATTCGGTTTTCAGAGCCTGGGAGGAATCAGTGCTTTATCCAACCGAGGTTTTAGTAAATAGCCAGAATATCTTCCTCGGCCTTATGGTAGGTTGAATTTACCGCTGCATTTATTTCTCTAATTAATTTTGTTGTGAAGGATGGAAAAGACACGGATGAAGAAGAAGAAGATCTTGATGGTGCTCCATGTGACATCGATGGCGTTCCGATTGAGGAGACTGAAAAAAACGTAATCTTTTTTTTTACACTCCGATTTCCTTCCATAATCTCTCTTTCTGAAGATGCCAATATACGATGATGATAACGATTCGGGTCATGCTGGATCAAGTGTGGAGGCCCCACGTAAACCAACAGGGATGTTCAAAGCGGACAACTGGAGCACGGTACGAGCGATCTCAGAGTTATTATGTAGAAGTTTTCATAAGGCTTCATTAGGTTGGTACGATTGAACCCGTAAAAAGCAAGTGGGAAGATGACGACGAGCCAGTGGCAAAGGAGCGAAGTTCCAGTCCAGCTAGAAAATGGAGTGGTGATGCTGCTGAAAGTAATTCTGGTAATCAAGCCAGTGCTCGTACAAAGGAAAGCGAGGACAGTGACACGGACGGGGAAATAGAAGAAAAGGAGTGAGTTCTTTTCTACTCTGTGGCCATTCTTTCTGCTTTCCGCATCCAATGCTTTCGATTGAAATTGATTCCTTTCTCCTTTTTTTCGTAGTCGTGCTGTCGTCATAATTATTCTACATATAGTGAAGTTGGTTATTAAGGGATATTCTTGCCAGCGCTGCTGTTGAAGAGGAACGTCGCAAATTGATGAGAGAAGTGGAGGTATTTGGAAGAATTTCTTTTGCATTTGAAATTTTTACCTTGTATTTGCAAAACTTCGGTGAAAACATTTCGAACTGCTCTGTTAAGGTCAAAGTCATGGCGCTACAAGATGAGTTGGAGAGCAAACGAGATCCGGACATTGCAGCTAAGGTGATTTTGGATCATCTCAAATTCCCACCTCTATTGTCTTACTAGTAAGTATATTGTTTAAAGGTGAAAGCTCTGCGTGAGAAGGAAATGAACGACCTAGAAGACAATCTTGCTTCGATTGTAAGAAAACGGTCGAAGAAGGACAAGAAGAAACCGAAAAAAGACGTGCGGAAGGAAAGCAAGGATGAATATGGTCTTTCAAAGTCGAGTCGGGATCCGGATCGCACAGGAGATCGACGTCGTGACACAGAGTCACGAAAACGAGACCGATCCCGCGATCGGGACCGATCTCGGGATCGGTCTCGTGAGCGAGATCGTGATCGGGACCGCGAGCGACGGAGAAGTAGAAGTCGTGAACGAAAACGTGATTCGAGTCGGTGAGTTGTGGTAACTTCTGCTTTCTAATCAGTTGTCGATGGCATGCCCTTTTTATTCATAAGACTATGTTCATACATTGCCTCAGTGTCCACCAGCGTCTCGAAGGGCCTGGGAAGTATAGGTATCGATAGCGGACCTCAGCGTCCACAAGCGTAGAGCAGTTTTCACTGGCAGTTTTGCTCAAGTTCAAATGTGTCCGCGAAAACGCCGCTGTGCGCTGATAGACGCTGGTAGACGCTGGCGTTCGCTAGATCGAGATCTATACTTTCCTAGTCGCTGGCTGGTGGTCGCTGGTGGACGCTGACGCGAACTATGAACCTAGCCTAATGCTTTCCGAGTTTTAGGGATCGCTCTCGACGCGATCGTCGGTGATTGGGCCTTTCAACGTTGCAGCCTGGAATCTGATGTGACGTATCTCACAGCACCTAAAGTGTAGTTTGTGTATCTCGTGATATGTAGCTTTTTCCCCGTTAATTTATTATTCATATTCGTTGTCGTTGTTTTTTTTCTTGCACTTTGGAAGTGCATTTGAGCAGTCAGATTGTTATCATTGTTTTCAAATGTGTTGGCTAAGAAACATTTTTTGATGATTTTGTGCTTTACTCAGTCAAATCTTAAGGAATGAAAATACCTTAATATGGGAAGTGAAAGGGAAAATTGTTAGATGAACGGCTTTGCAAGGGAGGTCAGAAAACACCAAACTGGCAAGTAGGGGACATCTTCGCTTTTTGGAAGGTTTTTGCTACGTGCGACTGCGACCCTCTACTTCGAAACTTTTCTCCCTCTGAACGACTTCCTACACAACCTACCTTCCCTCTCCCCAACCTTCTTCCAAAAACTTGTCCGTCGAG